TTTGAGTGGGAGTCTCACTCTGTCGCCCAGACTGGAGTGCAGTGGCTGCTCCCGGCCACCGCAGCCTCTATCTGCTGGGCTCCGGCGATCCTTCTGCCTCAGCCTTCCGAGTAGCTGGAAATACAGACGCGTGCTACCACGCCCGGCTAATTTTTTTTTTGATTTATTGTGGAGATGAGGTCTCACCAAGTTGCCCAGGCGAGTCTCGAACCCGCGGGCTGGCGGTTATAATTTTTAAGAGTTATCTTACCAGAGCCACAGAAACACTGATGGGTGAAATTACATCCATCAATAAATGAAACTGTAACCATATGAGAGCTACTCTAAAATAATCCAAAAAAGAATTGGAAATGGAAGTGATTAGACAACACAAGACTGGCCAAAAGATGTTAACTAATAAAACTGATTGAAGGGTGCACGAGGGTTCAGTTTATTATTCTACTTTTGCATGTGTTGGAAATTTTCCATAATAAGAAGTAAACAATGAGAAAACAGCCAGTGCTCTGGGAGGCTGAGGTGGGAAAATTGCTTGAGCCCAGGTGTTTGAGGCTGCAGTGAGCTATGATCGTGCCACTACACTTCAGCCTGGGGAGCTGTGACACGGCACACATGCCCCTGTCTCGTTAGATAAACCAAGAAGACGGAATGGAAAAGAGTCAGAGAGATGAAAGAAGATGAAAACACAGTGGAAACACCTGAGTTTGAAGCGCTCCAAGGAGGGAGTTGTGAGCTTCCACCTCCACTGGGAGATCATGGATGTTGAGGAAGAAATGACACTTAAAACCACACAATACGGAACCTGTCCTTTCAGCAAGTTCCTTAAGGTAACTGCCTTACATACATACATACTTAGTAAGTGCAAGACTGAAAGAGATAGTGGCCGGGCTCAGGGGCTCAGCCTGTCACTGCAGCACTTTGGGAGGCCGAGGAGGGTGGATTGCCTGAGCCCGCGGGTTTGAGACCAGTCTGGGCAACTTGGCGAGCCCTCGTCTCTACAATAAATCAAAAATTAGCCAGGCATGGTAACGTGCACCTGTAGTTCTGGCTACTTGGAAGGCTGAAGCAGAAGGATGGCCGGAGCCCAGCAGGTTGACATTGGAGTGCCTGTGAGTTCACCACCGCACTCCAGCCTGGGAGACAGAGTGAGACTTCAACTCAAAAAAAAAAAGAGAGAGAGAGATAATGTTCTTCCACTCAATACACTAAGATTATTAAAGTAAAGCAAGCAGAAACACACACAGGCACATGCCTTGAGCTACTATGGCCAAGGGCTACAGTTCACACTCTAGTCACCAATCATCTCTGAAAACGCAGGGCATAAGAAAGGTATATGAGACTGTAGAGTAATGCAGCAAAATTCTCAAAAAATATCCTCAAAAAGGGGAAGCCTAGAAAACATTCTGAACAAGGTTTGAAGTGCTGGGCTAACCTGATCTACTTGTTTGTTTGAGTTATGGTCTTGCTCCGTCGCCTACACTGGAGTGCAATAGCGTGATCATGACTCACCACAGCCTCAAACTCCTGGGCTCAAGCAATCCTTCTGCCTCAGCCTCCCAAGTAGTTGGGATTACAGGCACATGTCACCATGCCTAGCTTATTTTTTTTTTTTACAGACAAGGTCTCACTATTTGGCCCAGGCTGGTCTTGAACTCCTGGGCTCACGCAATTCTCCTGCCTGGGCCTCCCAAAATGCTGGGATTATAAGCGTGAGCTGGCCCTGACCTATTTCCAACTGCTAAGTATTGTCATGAAACACAGCTGATACTTGCCTCCACTTCAGCCATGAATGCCTCCAAGGGATCATCATCACTGTCAGAATCTACTGGCTTGGAATGGAATTGCTGGCGGGTTGGTGAGTTTTCTGCGGGAATGTAAGGCAAATCAACATTGCTAGCGTCCTCTTCTTCATCTTCAAAATATCTGAGAATTAAAAAGCAAACTGGTAAAGCAAATGTTTAGTTTGGGGTCAGTGAATCTTTAACAAAAATTTTTATTATCATAAAACTACTATTAAGAGATTTATTCTGGCTGGGCTCAGTGGCTCAGCCTGTAATCCCAGCACTTTGGGAAGCCAAGGCGAGTGGACTGTCTGAGCCCACAGTTTCAAGAATAGCCTGGGCAACTCGGCGAGATCTAATCTCTACAATAAATCAAAAAATTAGCTGGGCGTGGTAGAGCGTGCCTATAGTTCTGGTTACTAGGAAGGCTGAGGCAGAAGGATTGCTGGAGCCCAGCAGGTTGACGCTGGGTGTGGCTGTGAGCGTGCCACTGCACTTCAACCTGGGCAATGGAACGAGACTCCAACTCAAAAAAAAAAAAAAAAAAAAAGAGATTTATCCTATACAGACCCCAAAAGCTTTGGTTAAGGACCTAATCATTAAGTACAATTAATATGTGCAAAATTCGTGTATTCAAAAAAAAGCAGTCACAGCAAATTCTCCATTTCAGTAACGTCTGCTCAAATTGTATGCCCAGTTCCATTAAAATGGATGAGTTTTCAATACAAACTCAGTATGTCATTGTAAAATATATATGACCAATGTTAAAGAGTTTGTATTATGGGAAAAAAACGAGACATTTGTATGGAACATTAAATAATTAGTTTATTCTTCATAATCCTTAAAAAAAAAAGTGAGAATTTCATATGGCTAGAAGCTTTCTTTAGAAGTTCCTGGTCTATTTTCTAAGAACTCACAGGAAACTAGAATTAAAAATGCTAAATCCAAAAATCATTTACCATACTATTTAAAGTATTCAGAAAGGACAACTTTAAGGCCTGGATAAAGTACCACTTTCTAACATTCCAGAAAAGACTGTCAATGAAGCTATTTATAAACTAAAACAAAACAAAATTAAATGGTAATATAACCAAATATTAGTTTAAATAAATAACTACAGCTCAAAAATTTAAAACATTTCAAGTTTTCATAAAAATTATTTAAGAAAGGCTAACAACTGTTATTCTATACACATATATGTAAACGCTAATGTAACTATCCGTTATATACTGTACTATATATGCAACATTATATACTAAAATATATATAATGTATTCTTACTTGTGTTCCTTTATATACTGTTGTTATGTATACTAATGTAATAGAATATGAATACTATATAATAATATATACACATTAATATATGGTGTATATACAGAGGGTGCCAAAAACTGTATACACATTTAAGAAAGGAAAAAACTGGCCAGGCTTGGTGACTCAGCCTGCAATCCCAGCACTTTGGGAGGCCAAGGTGAGTAGATTCCCTGAACCCACGGGTTCAAGGCTGCTGTGGCAGGGAGAGTGCCACTGCACTCCGGTCAGGGCAACAGAATGAGACTCCCACTCAAAAAAAAAAGAAAGAAAGGAAAAAACCATATTAAAATTATAGTACTTGGTATACACTGATAACAAAAGATGCTAGTCACTCCTGACATCTGCTATTACAAGAGGTGCTCAAAATGGTTACCATCATCATCCAGACACTTCTGATTACAGCGAACTAAAATAACATCTCTTAAAATGTGCATACCCCGGTACATACATATATGCATGCATACATACATACATATATACATACATACAGTCCTCCTGCCTGGGCCTCCTAAAATCCTGGGATTACAGGAATGAGCCACTGTGCCTGACAGACGTATTTTAATTAAAAAACCCCTGCTAGGCCAGGAGTGGTTGTGGCTCACGCCTGTAATCCCAACACTTTGGAAGGTGGAGGTGAGAGGACTGCCTGAGCCCAAGGGTTCGCAATCGGCATGGGCAACTTAATGAAGGTTTGTCTCTACAATAAATAAAAAAATTAGCCAGGCCTGGTGGTGTGCATCTACAGTTCCAGGTACTTGGAAGACTGAGGCTGAAGGATCGCCTGAGACGAGCAGGTCGAGGCTGCGGTGGCCGTGAGCGTGCCACTGCACTCCAGCCTGGGCCATGAAGTGAGACTGGCTTAAAAAACAAACAAAAAAACACCTAAAGCAGTGACACAACCAGATTGGAAATAATAGTAATAGCAGATTTCTTCTCACTTCACTAAGGGAGTTCTCTATAGAACTTCAAGCTCAAACCCTCAAATCACAGTTTTTTATAACCACCTTATTATTATTACACAAACAAGTTAAAAATGATAACTGGAAGCCAGGCACAGAGGCTCACACCTGTAAACCCAGCACTTTGGGAGGTTGAGGCAGGAGGATTCCTTGAAGCCAGGAGTTGAGACCAGTCTGAGCAACATAGCAAGACCTAGTCTCTATAAAACAAACAAACAAAAAGCCAGGAGTGGCAGCTTTCACCTACAGTTCTAGCCATGAGTACTCAGGAGGCTAAGGCAGAAGGATGGCTTGAGCCCAGAAGTTCGGGGTTGTGGTGGGCTATGATCCTGCCACTACATTCTAGCCTGGGCCACAGAGAGAGATCTTGTCTCTTTAAAAAAAAAAAAAGGAGCTGGGCTCGGTGGCTCAGCCTGTAATCCCGTGCCTTTGGAAGGCTGAGGTGAGTGGACTGCCTGAGCCCGCGGGTTCGAGACCCGCCTGGGCAGTGAGACCTCATCTCTACAATAAATTAAAAAAAAAATCAGCCAGGCGTGGTAGCACATGCCTGTAATTCCGGCTACTTGGAAGGCTGAGGCAGATGGATCACTGGAGCCCAGCAGGTGGAGGCTGTGGTGGCCGGGAGTGGCCACTGCACTCCAGTCTGGGCAACAGAGTGAGACTCCAACTTAAAAAAAAAAAAAAAAAAAAGACAGTTTTTTCTTGACAATTTTGCTGAGATTTTTCTACCACTAACAGATGTTCCAACTTAAGAGTTTCAAGGACTTAGATGCTAAGGCAAACTTGTGTTTCTACCAGCTCTGACAACAGCCTGTGTTTACCATACATTTTATATAATGTCAATAAAAGAATGCAGTAAAGACCACCAAAAACCAGCTGGGCATAGTGGCTGTCTGTAATCCAAGCACTTTGGGAGGCCAAGGTGGGAGAATCGCTTGAGCCCAGGAGTTCAAGACCCAGCCTGAGCAACACAGTGAGATCTTACCTCACAAAAAAATAAAAAAATTAGCTGGGTGTGGTGGCATGTGCCTGTAGTCCCAGGTTCTTGAGGGACAAAGGTGGGAGGATCCAGAAGATGGAGGTTGCAATGAGCCATGATCACACCACTGTACTCTAGCCTGGGGAACAGGGTAAGACCCTGTCTCAAAAGAAAAATGAAAAGAAGACCACCCCAAATCATATGAATTAAATAAAATTCTTCAGCCACATTTAAGTTCCAAAGGTTTCCAATTCTGCAACCAGGCATTTATTGAGCAATGGCCCCCTAGAACACTATCCAGGAAGAAACCATAATTCACTGAGTGGCTGAAGGTTCAAGTATCGTCCTTACATATGAGAAAACCTGACAATTTAACCTATTAGGAGCAGTGAAATTCAGCAAGGCAACCAGTTTAAGAAGTCATTATTACCTGGGAAACACATAAGTTTCTTTGCCCCAATTTCTTTTGATGGAATGAGTATCTCAAAGCCCAACTTTTTACTAAATCACCAGAAATGATCACTTACGCATTTTCTTCATCAAAGTTGGCCCGTTTAGATCCAATTTTGTAGAAAGAAGGGAGCTGTGGTGGAGCTGACTTTCCAAACCCAGAAGAAGAGCTGGGTGCCCCAAAGGCACTGTGGGACTGCTGGGGAAGTTTGGGTTCTTCCTTCTTACCAGCACTGATGGCAAAACCTCCAAAGCCAAATCCCCGCTTAGTGCCAGGGCCACCTTTATTCCAGTTCATGATGCCAATGACTGATCTGTTAGGAACAAGATACATTAACGTAAACGTCACCTTATAAGGTACACAGCCTCACTGGCTTGTATGTCTCTTCCAACTTCTACCTGCAACTTTAAACTTCGGCTTCTCAAATAAAACTGTAACTCTGTAGCTGGGCACAGTGGCATGTATAAAACAAATCCCAGCCATGTGAGAGGCTGAGATGGGAGGATCACTTGAGCCCAGGAGTTTAAGGTTACAATGAACTATCATCATGTCACTGCACTCAAGCCTGGGAAACAGAGTGAGACCCTATCTCTGAAAGAAAAAAGAAAACTCCACTGATCTTATTAAGAGATGCATTTCCAGCCAAGTGTGGTAACCCACACCTATAATCCCAGTTACTTGGGAGGCTGGAGCAGGACAACTGCTTGAGCCCAAGAGTTCAAGGCTACAGTGAGCCATGGCTATGCCACTGCACTCCAACCTGAATGACAGAGAGAGTTCCTGACTCTTAAAGAAACACACACACACACGATAACATTATGCTTCAGATACACATTACTCTAGGCTTAACCAAATGACTACATTTTTAAAACTGAGGAAAGTGTTATTCATTTTGTTGAGATTTCAATCTAAGGAACAGTATTTAATATTACTCCTGTCAAAAGGATTTGATTGCTAGTTAGCATCTTTATATTAAGCTGCCAAAAAATACACATAGACAAGAAATATTTTCAGGACCCTGATACGTGCTAGGCATTGTATTAGGCAAAGGACTTAAGTTAATTTTTATGTGCAAGGAACTTACAGTCAGCCAGGAAAAGAAAAACAACAACAACCTACAATTACAACATAATGCTTGCTATAAAAAAGACTGAGGTGCTGTCAGCAAGACTGTCCCTAAACTTTTGACATCTGGAAGAATCAAATAATCAAAACTTAAAAGATTAGCTGTATAGCGACAGTATTCATCGACTGGTTTCTGAAGGGCACTTGTGAACCATGCAATTATTGACCAACTACCAGTAGAAGAATATCCAGGAAGAAACCATGATCATGATCCATTGATAATGTTGCCTGAAATATTCAGTTAGCCTATAGTTGGTAATAACAAAAAAAATTTCTAGAGCACTGATAAAATCAGCCTTTAACAATAGTTCTATCTTGGCTCCACAAAACCTTTTCTTTTTCTTTTTTTTTTGAGTTGGAGTCTCACTCTGTCGCCCAGACTGGAGTGCAGTGGCCGCTCCCAGCCACCGCAGCCTCGACCTGCTGGGCTCCGGCGATCCTTCCACCTCAGCCTTCCGCGTAGCCGGAATTACAGGCATGCGCTACCACGCCTGGCTGATTTTTTGATTTATTGTAGAGATGAGGTCTTGCTGCCCAGGCGGGTCTCAAACCCGCGGGCTCAGGCAATCCACTCACCTCAGCCTCTCAAAGGCGCGGGATTACAGGCTGAGCCACTGAGCCCGGCTCACAAAACCTTTTCTAATGACACAATTTACCTAAGTTTTGTAGAAAGGCCGAAAGCAAAAATGAACAAAATTTAAAACTACCGAAAATTTCCTCTCCCAGATAGGTAGTTTTGTTGTACATTTTGCGAGTTTTTCTATGCATATATGTATATACAAACAAATTTTAAAAACAAAACTACTACTTGGAAGGCTGAGGTGGAAGGACTGCCTAAGTCCAGCAGGTGGAGGCTATGGTGGCCATGAGTGTGCCACTGCACTCCAGTCTGGGTGACAAGAGTGAGACTCCACCTCAAAAATAAATAAAACCTGAATCCATATCATACATTTTGGTTATTGACTCCATCCAATGATACAAAATTCTCAATATCAATAAGTCTATTTCTTCACTATTTTTTTTTTTTTTGAGTAGGAGTCTCACGCTGTCGCCCAGACTGGAGTGCAGTGGCCGCTCCCGGCCACCGCAGCCTCAACCTGCTGGGGCTCCGGCAATCCTTCCGCCTCAGTCTTCCAAGGAGCCAGAACTACAGGCGCGTGCTACCACGCCCAGCTAGTTTTTTGATTTATTGTAGAGATGAGGTCTCACCAAGTTGCCCAGGCAGGTCTCGAACCCGCGGGCTCAGGCAATCCACTCACCTCAGCCTCCCAAGGCGCAGGATTACAGGCTGAACCTCTGAGTCCGGCTTCACTACTTTATAGCGTTTTTTTTTTTTGAGTTGGAGTCTCACTCTGTCACCCAGAGCGGAGTGCATTGGCCGCTCCCGGCCACCGCAGCCTCGACCTGCTGGGCTCCAGTGATCCTTCCGCCTCAGCCTTCCAAGTAGCTGAACTACAGGTGAGCGTGACCATGCCTGGCTCATTTTTTATTTATTGTAGAGATGAGGTCTCACCAAGTTGCCCAGGCAGGTCTCGAACCCGCGGGCTCAGGCAATCCACTCACCTCAGCCTCCCAAAGGCACGGGACTACAGACTAAGCCACCGAGCCCGGCTACTTTGTAGCGTTATACTTTATAATACTAATAACACTTTACCTCATAATGTTGCAAAACATATCATCATAGCTACATTTTTGTGCATACCCTGAACTAATTTCTTAGGATCAGTTTTAAAATGCAACTGTTCAGTCAAGGGAAAATGCATTGTAAGTTTTAAAATTTATAATTACATTTATGGAAAAGTATCCGTTACACACTGAGTAAAATAAAAAGGACATAAAACAAGGTGGGTGGTAAGATACCATTTATGTAAAAGCATGCATTACACATACAGCGATAGTTGAAAGGCTGTTTGTCAAAATGTTAATAGCAGCTATTTGAAAAAAACTAAAATGTTGACAATGAGCTTTGAAGCCAGCGAGGAAGCATTTCAGCAACTGTTTTTTACAGTAATGTCGTAGAAGGGGTCACAGGCTGTTTCACTGCTATCACAAGCACTTTGCGCAGTTGGCTTAGTATTACATTCAAGTTAAACTATGTCAATCACCACCCCCAGACCAGCTGCAGATAGGGACTGTCTCTCCTCACTGGGCACCTCTTTCCATAACAGTAAGGCAGGTACCTGGTAAGTACTAGTTTACTTGAACTTAAGATCATCTCCTGCTCTCTGCGGGAATCCCTTAAGGGGATTCCTTTAATTCGAGAATCAATGTAATTCTAATGAAATAAGATAACTAAGAATTTTTACAAGCAAGACAATTTTAGCATCTGATATATATACATATATATATATATATATATATATAAAAATTTTTTTTAACTTTTTTTTTTTTAGTTGAAGTCTCACTCTGTCACCCAGTATCCACCCACTGGGCTCCGGTGATCCTTTCACCCCAGCCTTCCAAGTAGGCAGAACTACAGATGCGTGCTACCACAACCGGCTAATTTTTGATTTATTGTAGAGACAAGGTCTCGCTAAGTCGCCCAGGTTGGTCTTGAACCCACGGGCTCAGGCAATCCACTCGCCTCAGCCTCCCAAAGTGCTGGGATTACAGGCTGAGCCACTGAGCCGCCATATTTTTAAACTAATCTATATGCTTGTCTTTGCAAGAGCTGTTCCTAAGCAACAAAAATGATAAACTCAATTACTTTCTTTCTTTCTTTCTTTTTTGAATCAGAGTCTCACTTTCACCCAGGCTGGAGTGCAGTGGCACGCTCATGGCCACCGGAGCCTCAGCCTGCTGGGCTCAGGTGATCCTTCCGCTTCAGTCTTCCAAGTAGCTGGAACTACAGGCATGTGCTACCACGCCTGGCTAATTTTTTGATTTATTGTAAAGACAAGGTCTCACCAAGTTGCCCAGGCTGGTCTCGAGCCTCTGGACTCAGGTAATCCTCTTGCCTCTAGCTCCCTAAGTGCTGGGATGACAGGCTTGAGCCACCACGCCTGGCCAATGGACTCAATGTCAACCTCACTTTTCCTAGTGTATATAACGTAAAATGAAGGGCTAATAAATGTACCATAGAAATGAGAAGGTAGACAAAAAAAGGATGAGAGAAAGACATTTGGGTTCAGGTGGATTTAAAGACTCACACATCTAATCTCCTAACATGAAAACATCCAGTGATTTACTGAAAGTTTGCTGAAGAAGGTTATGTAGTCTGTAAGTGAGGGGCATTTATACACAAACAATACAGCCCCTGTTCTCAAGGAGTACACAGTGTATTTTTAGCCTGAAAACACTACAATGCATTCTAAGAGTGGTACTGTACAAAGCACACTCACTGGTGGTCCAGGAGAAGAAACTTGACCCAGGATGAGTTGGGGAGAAAACAGAAATATTCTGGAAGATGACATGTTACATTCTGAAATCTAAAGAGGCATCATATCAAGAAAGAAGCGCTGGAGAAGAGCGTTTTGGACTGAAGGAACCGTAACTGACAGAAAACAGTAAATAGTTCAGTGCAGCTAGAGTTCAGGAGAACACTAGGGAAAGCTGTGGGGGACATGTTCAGAAAGACAGGTAGAGCTATGACCCACTGCTCAGGAGGTTATGCAAAGTATGTACAACACAAAGCTATATTCTGCCAACTACAAAGAATCATTAATTTTAAGCAAAAAGAGGACATGGTTCAGATCCGTGTTTCTGAAGGACAGAATGAGAAATACTGTAGTGGGAAAGCAGTTAGAAGGTACAGTAGGTCCCCTCCATACAAACCTTCAAGTTGCAAACTTTCAAAGATGCAAATGTACATGTCTAATCATGTAAGTGAGTTCACGTGTCTGGCATACATTGTCAAGTACGTGCAAGGTACTGTACTGTAAGATTAATAATGTTTTCTTTGCCAGGTGCGTTGGCTCACACTTGTAATGCCAGCAGTTTGGCATTAGGTGAAAGGACTACCAGAGTCCAGGGGTTCAAGATCAGCCTGGGCAACTTGACAAGACCTTGTCTCTACAAGAAAGAAAGAAATTAGCCGGGTGTGGTGGCATGCACCTGTAGTTCCAGCAATTTGTAAGGCTCAAATAGAAGGACTGGCTGACATAGAAGGATCGCCTGAGCCCAGCAGTCAATGCAGTGGCCGTGAGCGTGCCACTGCTCTCCAGCCTGGGCGACAGAGTGAGACTCCAATTAAAAAAA